GCACACATATCTTGACTATGGTATGGCGAGATTTCTTGCTTGAAGTGAGGATCATCTCGCTACGACTAGCTACGACCACCCACCGCAGCGATGCAGGCATCGAAGGGGCGCTACGCAGTCAGTCGCCGTCACCCGACGCTGCTCGTTTGGCATTCACGTTGACTGGCACTTCGTTTGTACTTGGCACCAAGTGTTATTTTCTGTGCTTGTGTGTGCTCAGTGACTAGATATGGGCCTCAGGAGCAGTTCTTCAGGCTCAGTAGCGTTCGCCGAAGAACTTCTGAAGAAAAGGCCACCCAGGAAAAAAAAGCACGAAGACGCAACGCACCAGCTTGGCGGACTATGCTCTGGGCGCGGAAATCGGGCCCTGCGGATTATACACCAAATGCAAACTACCTAAACAAAACAAAAACATTTTTAGGCTCAAATTGACTTCTGCGGACTATACGCCTGGACACTGGTGCCTGTTATTGTGCATTGTATATTCACTGCTGTTTGTTGTGGCTTGAGACTGCCTTCCTGTAATGATGCAGAGGGGTCCACTGAACCTTGAAATAAAGATATTTAAGCACATTTAGATGCAATGCCCCTTGAAGCCAGATGGTCAGGGAAAAGGTGTGCCATTACCTAATTTGCCAACAGCACACCAATGGTCACGATCAAAACTCAGAGTCAATGGGCAGTTTTTCACCACAATATTTATTGCCGTGTAATCACCAATTTGGTCCATTAAAAATCTTGAGGCTGTAGACTATAGCACATTCATTCTGGATCTGCAAAGCTTATGCTGTAGACATGCACCATCACACGAGCATGTTTCTTATCAATCTTAAACGTAAAACGCTAGTTATGCAACGAAATTCCCATATCACAATTTTAGCAAATTGAATGGTCCCATCTGTCACACTGTTAGCTTTGGAAGTAAACCAATTCACAATACCACCAGTGGAATACATCGTGCCAAGTATTAGTGCCGCATGTGGCACAAAAATGTCCTAACTAGGGAAGAAACTTAATCGATCGTGTTGATTAAAGCACTTAAGTACGGGAAGTTTTCTCGCTGAACGAATATGACTTTTTATTGGGCGTTCCGCAATGTAAGGCCGAAGACATTCACTCCGTGATCGGTACAGAAGCATTTGCATAGCAGTCGGTAGTGCGTGCTAAAAACAACAAAAAACAAAGGTGGATTAGAAACGCGATAGATTCGCCTTTGCACGGAGTACGTATACACTCAAAATCGTGTCAACATAAAGCGACTATGGCCCACCTTGCTAGCAGCAATCTTAAAATTTATCCGTGTAGTCGTCGCAGCCGTGCACCAACCGAAAGCGTTGCTGCAAGCCCTTCCGCCGTCAACTTTGAGTCGCTGTTGATTCTGAAGAACTGCTCTATGAGGTCCATATCCAGCCACTGAGCACATGCACAAGCACAGGAAATAATACTCGGTTCCAAGTACAAGCGAAGAGCCCGGGGCGGAAAGCCCTGAATGGCAAACGACCTGCGTCGGGCGACGGCGACTGACTGCGTAGTAACAGGTTGCGCTCCTTCGACGCCTGCATCGCTGCGGCGGGTGGTCGTAGCTGGTCGTAGCAAATCGTGTCACCTCTGTTGCTCGTACCGAAACACTACAGCCGCGTAATATTCTTGATGCCGAAGTTTATAAGCCTACGTTCGCGGTCAACGCATTTACACAAAGCCAACGCCCAGCGAACCTATCCCCCTCGTTCTCTTTCGGCGACCGGCCGCCAGGGCGGAGACACCGTCGCTGAAACTCCTCCAATTCACCTTCCAGTAAAAACTAGAATATTACAACGCGTATTTACAAATGTCGACGCAACAGCATACGGATAACGACGGAAAACAAGATTCCATCCTATCAAAAGATTAAAAAAAATCGATTGCAGCACTTTACTTGCGTCTTACATGCCAAGAAAGCCCGTAAATAAGTTGTTCCTCACATATCGATCGTATCCATACGTCCAGCAATATCCGCCATGAAAACATTTGAACACGAACTCCAAGAAGTCTCTTTGTCGAGAGAGGGGTCTCTATCGATAACCGACCAGTGTCACCGTTGACTAGTTGCCACACATGTCATTCAAACCGTCGCAGGACTTGTTCCGCAAATCCACGTAAATGCCGTAGTATCAAGCGAAAAAAAAAAAAAAAAAACTCTTCGAGATTGCGATGACGACAGAAAAACGACGGGTAGAAGGAAACAAGTCTCAAAAGAACCACACACGAGAACACCGGCAGCAGCCTGGGACGAAAGGCTTCACGTTGTCGACCCATCTCTTGCTCGTGTGCGCTCCGTGCGGCGATGACGATTTTTCTTCGGTTTCCTTCCCTTCTGAAATGTCTCAGCGTTCCTTTTCAAACAATCAGCAACTCACACACAACGTAAATTTACCAGAATTGGAGCCCGCACGAGGGAAGAAAATGTCGTACTACTAGAGCCGGTTCATTCGAAAAGTGGGAGGGAGCTGCGGGACTGCACGTAGTCCCATGGTTACGGGGATACCCATAAATGTAAATTCGGTACTTTCAAACCTTGGTAACGCGTTTTATATTACGTTTATATATATATATATATATATATATATATATATATATATATATATATATATAATAAATTGTACAAGATCTGCGCTTTTAAAACTTACATTAATGTCGGATAACGCGCACGAACACCACCGCGCCGCTCGACAAGAAACATTTTTTTCACGCCGATGCCAGATATTTTTTTACGTAGTTGTGCCATGGCCCTCCTTTTCCGACATTGTGACGTAACCACTCGGAGCGCTACGGCGCCCTATTTCTAGGAAGTGTTGGCTTGGCCATCACGTTGAGGTGGAGAGAGTGTATGACCATCTCATTGAGGTAGAAAGTGTGTATGACCATTCCGTGACGTCATGGACTGTTCGCTCATAATTTAAAATAAATGTCGCGCCGTCATTATTGCTCTGAAGCGGGTCTCACATGCAGCGATTCCGCGGCCGAAATCGCTGGCGCTAGCGGCGCGGCGGCACGAATTGCGAGGTTTCATTTCACATTAGCGTTTCCTGCCGTTGCGATGACCAATGGGGCTTGAAGCAAGCAGATGTGCATAGTCGGTTAGAACGGCTTCTAACAACAATTTTAATGTCTTAGCCTTCAGTTTCCCCTTTAATTTCACATTCATAAAAAAAAGCGTTTAAAACACTATATAAATCTTGGTTTTACTCGTTTATGTTTTTTTTTTTCCTTTTTTTTTTTTTTCAAACCTCGTTGTCGCGGAGGATGAGACCTCTGATCAGTCTGATCATTCTCGGTAGCGTCACGGGCAGCACTTTCCTCGGATGTAAAGACTCCAACTGACATGGCCGACCTGAACCTCCTGGACGGCGTTGGAGTAGTTGGGAAGCAGATTTTTTCTTTCACGTATAATGGAATAATTTATTTCTCGACACGGCGGTCCCAACCACACTGTTAAAAAAAAAATTAAGAAAAACACGTTTTTCTTTTTTTAGTGACCCTTTAACTGACGCCCCTCGATTTTTTGTTTTGTTTTATTTTTGCTAGGTGATTTATTATGGTGTCAGAAGACTATCCAATCAATATTTTGGAACACCGTCGCATATCTTCAGAACAAAGTAAAAAAAAAAACGCAACTGCTTGAAATTGAAACTGGACTGGGGAGGAAGAAGAAATATAGGGGAGGTGAAAGTTGGCGGAAATCCCGTAACTGTGCAACCTTTTTTTTTTATTATTATTCCAATTTTTTTTTTTATCGTATTTGCGGTTTTTTAGAAGCAGCGAAAAACAAATTTCGGTATCGTATTTTATTTTTATTTTTAATATTGAGTGTGTGCCTTCGATGACCCACGTCATTGAATACATTTGGTGGTTGTGTCTAAACCATAGAAAACTGCACGTGACCACGGAGAAGAGAATGAGCGCGACTGGAACCGGCCAGTTTCTAATCGGCGGTTTTCCGGAGGTAAGAAAACGAATTTCGAGCTGCAAATTGTGTTCTGGGTAGTTGGGCCTCTCATATGTCATGTTCAAGCAAAAACTTTGGTGTGCATAAACACCCTATCAGTGTCCTTTTAAAGGGGTACTCCGCCGATTCTTGAGCTACCTCAACTAACTATATTTTCTGACTCCCCGGCCTTTACCCTTTCTGGTATGCTATTTAGTATTGTGAAATTCATAATAGTTATTGCGAAATCGGCAAATGAAAATGATGCAGAAACAAACATTCAAATATACCCGCCCTTTTCAGGGCCGTGACGTCAGTGGAAGGTAAGCTTGCCAGTCGGGCGAGCACACTGATCTCTATAGAGATCAGTGGGCGAGCAGTCTAAAAAATAGAATATGCCAATCATTTGTTCCGTGCTGGAGCGCGCGGACTGGAGCGAGCTTCCAAAGCATTCATTTGACACCATGAAACTGCTTCGAATCAGTTGGGAACAACTTCTACAGTCCAAAGAGTGAACAAGGTATATGGAGTGAACCCCAGCACTTCCACTGACGTCACTTTTTCATTGTTGCCAGTAGAGACTTTCAGTTTGAAAAACACGGTGAGGACCAAAATTGTAAATTCAATAACTTCGTGAGAAAAAAATTATTTTGACCTAATATTTGGGATACTATTTTGGCGATGTTGTTTGGCGAGTTTAGCAAAATTTCAATCAAATCTGGGACCATGAAGAAATCGGCGGAGTACGATTTGTACGGCGGAGAGAAATTTGGCTTAGAAGCGCGGAATGAATTATGCCTTTTTAGACTTAGGCTAGGTGGCGCAAGCTACCGCCCGTTACAAGAGGTACAGTAATTAACATTCATCCATCCACCCATGGCAACCGGAAGCCGTCATCTTGTTGGTTGTGTTGTTGTCAACCGTCGTTGCTGTCAACCTTGAAAATTGGTCATGCGGGTCATGCTTGGAGCTGGCTCGCAAGTCGCGCTCGTACTTTAATCGCGACGGGCTGGCGGAAAGAGGCCGGTGAAGTTACCTTGCGGACGCTTCGGCGAAGTTCCTCATGCTGCTCCGTGAAAAATGACGAGCTGAAGCGAAGATGCAGAGCGTCAAGGTGGGGAACGCGCTGAAGACGGCATCTGGCCAGATTCACGAAGAGCTTCTTAGTTTACGACAACTTAGCTAAGAAGTTCGTAAGTTAAGAACATCGTAAGAAGAGGAGAAATCGGTATTCACGAACGCGTTCTTAAGTGAGAGGAGGAAAGCGACGTTGTCGTACGGAAAAACTAAAACTTACCGGTGCTGTTGCTATGGCGACGGCGTCTTCGGCAGCACGAACAACCAATCGGAGAGCTCGGCATTTGTTCGGAGCCGTTCGGAGCCGTTCGGAGCACGTGGATTTTTCATAACAAACACAGGCGGCCTTTCTGCCACCGCTGGTCTGGGGTTCGTATCCGTGCAGTGATATGTCGACGCTAACACGATTTAAACTCACCCGACTGCCGAGGCCGGGGTGCGTAACCACCCCCATTGACTGCTACGAACTCGATCGCTACCAAGTCAACACAACTGTCATCGTTGGTAAAAGACGGCCCGCAGTCGTTTGCAAAGCGACGTAGATGGGAACGAATCGCCGCGGCGTTTTTTGCGGCCTCGGAGATGCAGGAGCGAGCTGACGTTAAAAAAAGATACGTTTGAACTACGACAGTGTAAGCAAGAGCCACGTAAATGCCTGTTCACACTACGGAGCGGACGCGCGTGTTTGATCGAAGTGCTGGATTTGCGCTGTTGGACCGCGAATTGATAAGCGCTTCGGGACCGATCCTTTACAATTGCAACTCGATGCTGACGTGACACCCGGCGAAGAAAGGTTCGACCGGCATTGTGACCCACGAACTGTTACAGCGATCGACAGTGAGCTGCAGTCGTGTCAGAATAAAATGGAATTCTAATAACAAAGTGTACATACCATTTTGCGAAGGTAATCCATACGGCGTTTATTTGAGCTTTATGTCACACAAAACAGAGATAGAATCGATGAGAGCCCCTTTTCGACGACAGCGTTCGTCACCGTTGCCTCGGAAAACAAGGAGATGACAAGAGGAAGAGATTGACCTCTTAATCTAGAATTGAGGTCAGCGATCAAACTATAATACGGGAAGGGTTCACAAGGGTCGCGCGGGCATATTCCACTCAGCACGCCAGCCGGTCGTGGGCAGACGGTCTTCGCCAAGGACCGTCAGATCATCGCTGCGCCGAGTCGGAGTGCCTGCTAGGCCTATCTGCCGATCGGTCGGAGTCCGTACTCGTGGCCCTTGGAGTTTTTCCCGGGTGTCTGTGGATCCAGCGTTCTTGTTCGTTCGTCGTGGTCTGTTTCGAGTACTTTTTACTTGTTTCTTGCTGCTTGAAGTCGGGACGCCTGAGAAGCGCACGTAGAAAAATAAACATCCGTTGGTTGTCGCGACCAACTGAGCGACGCTGTCGGCCATGCTGATTTGATCGTAAGAAGTGCGTAAGACAGCTTCGGAGCTGTCGTAGGATTTCGTCGTAACCTGCGCAAAACTTACGAAAATTTCGTTTCGTGAATACGGATTTGTTCTTAAGTTTTGTCTTACGCACATTTTTGGCGTAAGATCGTTTCGTGAATCTGGCCTCTGGACCGTACGCACGACAGTAGTTTCATGACAGCACATTTGGATACGTCTGCTCCGTGCCTGCGTTCCGCTTCTTCTGCCTCCTTGCGGTTGGCTTTCGATACGATCGGCGCCAAGAAGGTTAGAAGGAGGGGGCACGTTGCAATATTGGTGAAGCCTAGTCATAAAAAGTTCAAAAGATTTTGTGTCCAGCGTGACCGCAGATCTGTCTGGCGATTGGTGCGCGTGACATGTCACGTGCGAGATGAATGGTTGATTGCAGGAAGATTCCTTGCAAGCTTGCGCGCGCTCCGTCCGGTAGTTTTTATCAGACTGAAGGATCAGATCGAAGGCTAGACGAAGGCTAGCTACGGTCACGTGATGTGGTGAGAGTGGACCATGGCTTGTGGAGGCTACGCGGCTGACGTCATGCCCTCTCCTACCCTTCTACCGGGGGAAACAAGGAGACGGTAGGCTCTTTAAATCGACCGGAAAATTCGGTTTCTTAACCTATCGCGCTACGACTTTGTGCAGCGTCGCCCACAGATGGTGCATTTTTTTTGTAAAATTTGCAAAGAGCGAACTTACCGGAGGAAAAAGTAAAGAAAGAAAAAGGCTTAGCTCCTATGGAAACGCAGCTACGCCACCGGTCTGCAATCAACACGGCGCCGTTTTGCACGGTAGACAAGAGATGGCGCAACAAACGCCGCCAACGAATGAGCATACGGCGCCGAGAGCCAGCGTTATTAGCAGACGATCTTTTCGAATCAAAAGCGGCGCGCGTTCCGCAAACGGCGACAGTTGCAGAAACAAAAACAGGCGCGGTAACAACAAGGAACTGCAGTTCATTGTCTGCTAATTACGCCGGCTCTCGGCGTCGTCTGCTCGTTCGTTGGCGGCAGTTGGCGTCGCGACCGCTTGCGCCATCTCTTGTCTACCATGCAAAACGGCGCCGCGTTGATTGCAGACCGGTGGCGTCGCTGCGTTTCCATAGGAGCTAAGCCTTTTTCTTTCTTTACTTTTTCCTCAGGTAAGTTCGCTCTTTGCAAATTTTACGAAAAAAATGCACCATCTGTGGGCAACGCTGCACAAAGTCGTAGCGCGATAGGTTAAGAAACCGAATTTTCCGGTCGATTTAAAGAGCCTACCGTCTCCTTGTTTCACCCGGTATTCTCCATGGTCGGCGCACCAAACAAGTTTCAATGCGGTTTCGTCAAGGCACCGCGACAACTTGCATTTGACGTCATTCTATGTATTAGGACAGTGAACTTACGGCACAGTGCCACCTAACGGTTGGTGTCACCGGAGGTTACAGCAGACTTCAAGGACAAATTAGATGTAATCTGATCTGCAGGGAGGTAGTATGGGATTTGCCGTCTTAAAGGGGCCCTGCAACAACTTTTTGACTGGTTTTTAATTTGCACTGAACCTGAGCGCATTGCACTGAATGTAGTAACCTAATGAAACTTTTCTCGATTTGCACTTTATTTTAAAAGTTGTAGGCAGATTAAAATTCCAAAAACAAGCAAAAAATAGTCTCCTTCATGGCGTCCTTGGTCGTTTGAGTGGCCGTGAACTAGAGGAGCAGTGAGCTCAGCAAGCGCTCACGGCTGCCGCTTACCGTGTCGGCTCGAGAGGGCGCCGCTAAAGCACGTGTTGGATAGGCTGTATGAAGCGGGCAGCCAGGGCGGCTCGCGTTGCATTTGCTGTGCAATTAAACACTAATTCGGCATGACACTTCATTGGTCACAAACGACTGCAAACACGTGGTAAAGATCCGTTCAGAACAGGAGCCACTTCGCGCTGCCATACCGACAAATGGCCAAACCGCAAGCCAAACCTTCTCGCCGAAGGCCTTCGAAATGCTCAGAACCGGTCGGATCCTCGAGCACATTACGACCACAGCGCCACCGCGTACATCTATGCTTGCCGCTCGTCGGTCCCAGATCCCACTACAGCTTTCCAGTATGCGCCACCTTTCCACCGCTTGGTGGTTGGTATGTCGATGGATCATTTCTTTTTTCCGTACTTTATAAACTGCATTTCTTTATTTCCTGATTTTAAATGCTGAACAAAAACTACTTTTATAAATAATTGAAACAGTTCGCGCCACTTATATTTTGTATTTCGACTAAAAAGAAGCTTTAAGCGGCTCTGGCCGGTACTAAGCCCAGGACCAAATATTTCATATTTTGCGCGCTTTCGGCACCGTGGGTCCCCCCCGTAGGTGGAGGAGGTTTCAGCGTCGTCCGGTTAAAATATGACTCACCGGTATTTAGTCGCTCTCTCTGTGCCCGCTGGCTTGCCCGAACCCAAAAGACGTGGAAACCGCAAAAAAGGTAGATGCTTAAATATAATTACTGGGCCCCTTTAAGCAACATAGTATCTATAGGGAATCCCAAGTCACCAGGCTCTATCTAAAATGGACCGTAAAAATAGACGCCTACACGTAGCCATCTCAACATTTCGTCAAAGGTGTGTTTCACAGGTCGGCTTCTTCTTGCAAAATTAAAAAGTGTAGCTCCCGTTCTGTAAAAGATAGGGCCAAGAAACTTGCCACAATCAACGGCAGGCGGCGACGCAGACGACGAGGTCAAGTTGCGGGGTGCGTTCGGCGCTCGTATTGATAGATGGCGCTACCTCTATGTCGAGACTGCCCGCGACCACCACGGTTTATTAAAAGGAACATATTCGTTTTGTAATCTGCCTTTGATATAAGAATAAATGTGGACAGTAAAATCAAAACTTAAAGTTTAAAAAAAAATGTTTGCTAAATGACGGCGATTTTGCTGCCAACGGATTTCGTCTGCGTGTCACGCGTGTTGTTTGCTTTCTTTCGCTGGTCCCCGACGTCATCTATCAATATGCGCGCCAAACACACCCCGCAACTCGACTTGGTCGTCAGTCGCCGCCTGCCGTCGAATCTAGCAAGTTTCTTGGCCCTATTTTTTACGGCAGGGGAGCTATGCTTTCTAATTTAGCAAGAAAAAAACAATCTGTGAAATACACTTTTGACGAAAAGTTTAGATTGCAATGCGCAGGCGTCGATTTGTACTGTTTATTTTAGGTTGAGCTTGTCGACTTGGGACCCAATGGCTGGTCTTTCTAGAAAAAAAAAAAACAGCTTCTTCCACAGGAAGCAACACGGTTTTAGGCGCAGCCTATCAACAGTTGTACAACCCTGGCATACAATCCACATACTGGCGAAAATACTTGGTGAAAACACTGTTTAAATAAAGCAGCTTATAAATGCATTGAAAACATAGCAGCACAACAAAAATTTTGAAATTGGTTTAATTAACCAGAACTATGAAATATCCAAGTTTAATTATCGTGAGCCTATTATATAAAAGTTGGCACTTGGAAAAAGCACTGCCAGTAAAGTGCTTTCTAATTTAGCAAGAAATGCGACAAATAGGACTAAAGTGTATCACTATTGTATTTGTAGACTTAAATCTGCTGCAATGGGCCCGTTTGCAAATGCTGACTTCAAAGTTACACGCATTCATGTACACTGCATGAGGGTGTGCGTTACTTTGTAAAAGGGTCTATTACAGCCCCAGACGTAACAGTAGTGTCATAGGTTATACATAGAGCCCTACGTATCCGCAAATTATCCGCAGTTATCCACAGTAAACTGGCGGATGCGGATAAAAATTAGACATTCTGGCGGATGCGTATGTCAGCGGCTACGGATGCAAATATCCACGGTTCCGGATCTCAATTTTTGCTCGGTCGCATTCAGTCCGTCGACTGACGTTTCATCTACAAATCGTTTCGTCGACATGCAACGTTTGATTGAAAGGCTTCCCGTGTTTGTTTCATTGAAACACCCGAGACGTTTCGTCGCACACAACCCTGCCATTTTCGTAACAAACTTTTTGAGTCTCGCCTGGATTACAAGGGGGAGGGGGACATGGTTTGGTTAAGCACGCCTTAGTGAATCGCGCGCTAGCTTTTAGCGGCTTAGTAAAGAAATATGTTGTCGACAAAACGTCGCAGGGGCATGTGCCCACAAAACGTTCAGCGTCGACGAGCTGTGTGTCCATGAAATGTATGTCTGTAAAAAGTTGTCCACGAAACGTATTTCCACAAAATGCGTTTCGAAGAGACGATAGGAATCCTAAGAAAGATCCGATTCTGTCATTCTGCCATGCTGGGGATGTTAAAAAAATGGTCAAATGCTTACCTCGTGCGCCTCATACGAGTGACAGTACATTAGCATTTTATTGTCTTCTTTACCTTCGAGGCCAACGCTGGCAACCATCGCATGATGTGACAAATGGCACATTGTTGCTTTGCAGATCTTTCCACTCAACAACTCAGCTTTTGGGAGCATGCACCCTCTTGCAGTCTCCCTGCTTATACCAGTCCGGCATCGTTAACCAAAACGAGTGTCTCCTGTTGCATCAAACGGATCCCAGTTATTTAGATGTGCAAAAGCAGTCGACCTAGGTGATAGCATTATCGACCATGGGCGTCGGCAGGGGTGCAAAAGGGGCAAAAGGCAGTGCAGATTTGCAAGCTTGTCTGATGTTTGCGTGTTGGCATTGGACTTTCTTTGTCATTGACTTTCCTTGTCTTGTTTCTTGGGTTTCCGGAACATTGCCAGTTCAAGCTGCCTTCCTGGATGATGGGGCACTGAGAGCGACTCCTCTTCCCTTAGTGGTGAACTGGTCGAGTCACAACTTGGGACGCAGCCGTCACAACGCGAGGGTGTGCCCCAGTGCGAGTTCTGCCTTTACTCCAGTCGTTATCCATGTCATGTCATCGAGCATGAAAGGACACACACGAGAAAGAAGCCTTTCTGCTGCTCTGTCTGCGAGAGAGCATTTGCTCAAAACAGTCATTTACAGACTCGCATCGAAACTCGCATGGGGGAGAAACCATTCAGTAACCAGGTTTGCTAGAAGGCATTTGCAATAAGTTGTGCCTTGGTGATTCACAAGAGAGTCCATACGGGAAAGAAACTGTACCAGTGTGGCACATGCGAGAAAGAATTTTCACCAAGACCCAACTTGTGTCACGAGAAAACGCACAGTGGAATGCGGCCTTAAAAGCATGGAACCTGCGGGAACATGTTTGAACAGAGCATTCATTTAAGCAGACATCCGAACAAAAGTGCACGAGAGGGATCTGCGTCGTGCAATATCTGGAGGTATGGAATAATTCTTCCATGTTTCAGCACGCATTTCACTGCCTGTCCATTGTCTGTTCA